CCCACCGTATCCTGAGCAAATATATCCAAGATAGTTGAAATAATTACGGGACACTGCCTGTTGAGAGGACATACCGTGAGACTCAATATCAAGACCTCCTTACACTGTAGACATTGCATGGAGGATGATGAAGAGGAATCACCAATATACCTTCTGTTACAGTGTCCTGCTTTGGCAAGACATAGTCTCTCCTACTTAGGGTCACACTTTTTTAATTCACTAAGAGAGCTAGATTCTATTTCTATAACTCGTGTCAATGTCTTTGTGGCCAATACTAAATGGTTATAGGGACAGGTATCAAATTCTTAAGGGTATCACAATGGACCTCATGGTCTAAGTGAGTCTTCGGACGGTCCCAGTAACCTAACCTAACCTAACTCCCATCGTCCAAAATTGCGATTAAAGTATATAAAAACGAGAAAATTGTTTGAAAATCGGATCCGCATTAAATGAGTTGTTTAGAAGAAAATTTTCTATAGATCATTCAAGGTGTGGTATGCCACTCAGCGTGTGGTAACATGATTTAGAATTGATTTATTATAATTCTTGCATTTTGAGTTAAAATGAAAACTTTAATATACAATTTCATTATTATTTACGCTCTTATAGATTGAAAGTTTAAAGTTTTATAGTGGACAATAGTACGGAAATGATAGTGAATGTCATTCAAAAAATTGCAACATTTAAAAAAATATTGCATTATTTCACATCTTATTTGCAATTCAATCAACTCAATTCATCTAATTACAGTCCATTTCAGTCCATTTAAAACCAGTCCAACTGAGCTCAGCTGAGTTAGTGAAAAAGGGAAAAACATATTGATATATTCGTATAAGAAAAAATTTCTTTGAAGGATTCGCATATTTATGAGATTGATTATACATTTGTTAAATAAAAAATTCAACAATGAAGAAAATATTTCTCTATTGCTTTCTATTTAGGTTAATAAATTTTAACCAACTTCCAAACAATAGCTACCGAAATAGAATGACGGTTTGTTAACTTAAAACGAAAAACAATCAATTTAATATAACCAGAGACGACGACGTGTGTGACAAGATTTTCGTCGTCGGATTTTCTAAGAAGCGGAAATAGTTTATTGCTTTCTTTCACATACTAGCAGTTCATTATATATTCACATTGAATTGTTTCTTAAACGGAAAAGCGGAAAATATTTTTTAAAAATAGTGTTGAAGCATTGTAGGTCCAGAAAGGTAGCCTCTTATAGAAAATTAATCATTTAAAAAATGAAAATGAAACTCAAGATACCACAAAAATGCTTGAATGCTTTAAGAGGAACTGATAGCGCTTAAAGTCACTACTTAAACACTGTTAGAGAGATATACTCGTATATTAAAAACTGATGTAAAATATTTCACTGATAGCCAAGCGGCGATCAAAGCTCTTGTACTCTTCATCTCAAAAATCAAATACGAGTAATAATGTCTGAATGAAATTAGTAGACCTAACAACTTATCGATATCGGGACCACTATATCAACTATGTAACAGATAAGCTGAAACATGAACTATATTAGTCTAATTTTAGTTAGTCACATATCAATCAGTGAATTCATATAATGGTTCCTTCTTAGAAAAACTTAAACTATGTAGCATAACAAAACCACTTACGTTAAAACTAAACAAATCTGGCTCATAGGTAATCATATTTGTTTTGTTTTGTCGTTTTGTCGTAAGTGGTTTCCTTTTCCTAGAACTAACAAACTTACTAACTTAAAAGGGATCAAAATCGACAATGTTATATTCCTTGTAACCAGTCATTACGATCTTTTTGAGTCGCACCGTTTTACAGATAGATTTAACAAGAAGTAGAAAATCGTTGAAAAACTAATATCGAATTGGAGTCTTAAACAAACAATACATGCATCTTAGAAACCTTATTTACAAAGGAATAAGCGAGTCAATTAGAATAGATGTATCCAATTGCTGCTGCTAAAATAAAACAAACTCAGTACTATAATATCGGTGCTGATAGATCACTGCATATTATGAGAACATACGCCTCTTACGACTTCTGTCGTGGTTGTGGCACTGACAGGAGTATTCTATTATATACCGCACATTATGTGTTAGTACTCATCATTTGCTATAAGAAAGGATCCGTTTTCTAACTGACATGAGCGAACTGTTCTTATTTAAAACTAAGGACTTTTCGTGAGCTAGTTGCTTCGGAATTCTACTTTAAATATAGTTTTTCAGGTCTGGTGTATGTTAGCTGGCTCATTCGTGGTATTACAACTGGCGATTGTTTGTACTTAACTAAGTTTTGATACACAAGGCTGTCTATCTATCTATCTACTTAATCTACTTAAATACATTTACTTCTGAGATCGTATTAGTCGAAGTTGGAAAAATTTCGAGTGACTTTCAATTCAATGCCTGTATACTTGTACAAACTGAAATTTTTCTAATCGTTCTTAACTAATTTTACAGTTCAACTTTCTCAAATTTTATTTACAAAATATTTAAATCCAATTTAATTTTAAAAATGCATTTTTTATGCAGCAGAAGAAAATGCGAAAATATTTCAAATTAAATATGAGAAAATCAGAAAAGAATGAAGATGTAAAATTTGAAAGTAAATATTCGCTAGCACTAAACGTTGCATGGCATTTCTCACAGGCACCTATCGGTGATTTATAGATGTTGAAGTATATAAACAAATTCACATTCACTCAACTAACAACGTTCACAAGGGTACGGCAAACTTATCATTGCAACATTCAATTTCAAGAGAATACACTCCGCAACTATTCAACTAATGTATGTATGTATGTGTGTTATGTTATATATGTGGGACTGTAAAATCGTATTTATATTTGTTTTCTACTTCTTCATTTATTCACTTAATTTTCCTTCATTTTGTGCTTATTTTTCAGTTATTCTTCATCTTAAAGTAATATAATTTCACAGTATAAATATAGCATTCGTTCGATATTGAATCGACGAACCTATATCCTTCTCTCACATTTCAATATCCGAATACATTGCCATTGCCATTACCATCGTCATCGTCATTTGTCGTTTGTTGTTTGTCGTAAGTCATAAGTCGTAAGTCGTAAGTCATAAGTCGCTAGTCGGTCGCCGGTTGTTGGTCGTTGGTTGTTGGTTGTTGGTTGTTGGTTGTTGGTTACTGGTTACGACTGTCGATATTTCATTCAATGGCATAAGTTGTTCATTTCTTAAAACTTTATTTATATTTTCAAAATTGTCTTGCACTGAATGTTGCATATTTTTGTGCGCTAAAATTGAATTTATGTGCTTTAAGCAAAATTGAATTGCACTGATTTTGCTATTGAATTCAAGGCGGCTATTTTTTATCGCCTAATATACGTACGTACCATTTGCCATATTCCGCATATGAAATCGCAAATGAAAATTCAAAACATTGAATAAAGTTTCATTCATCCGCCTTCACATCTGTATGGATTGTATGGATGGAAGCCCAGTGCCTTGTAATTGACATTCAAACTCATTGCATACAAATGGATTTATTAATTTTTTGCGATCCATTTATTTATGGTAGAAAATTGGAAACTTGAATGTGTTTTCAACATTATTCATATTTCGAAAAGGACGCAATGATTGAATAGATTTAATGTAAAACTTGACTTTTATGTAGTTAATAAAAATACATTTTGACTGTTTACACTTTTGCAAATAGAAGGTATACAGGGTCACTAACAATACTTACATTGTTCTATGCCATGAGGTAATTTTTATGCAAAATTTTACCTTATTCAGAATTTTTATCATTTGCGAGCAACTTGATTTTTTATAGCGTCTTGAAAGTTGTGTTAAGAAAAAATATCATAACTTTTAAAAATCTTCGTGATATGATTTATTACATTTTTCGATGTGGTTTATCAGAACAATATCGAATCCTACAACTGTGAAACGCCAGTATAAGGAGTTTGCACCCGTACCTCATTTTATCAACAATACAGTACTTTAGAAACGAAGAAATCCAGTTGTTGGGCGAGAAAATGCTGATGCTGTTCAAAATTTGACACTATAAGATGGTCACAACCGCAACTACATTAGACATTAGTTCCATTGACATACATAAAATATTTCCTGTTCATTTAGTCATTAAGAAGATTTGTTCTTATTGTGTCCACCATAACGACAAAAACTTAAAAATGTTCTTATAGTAAAGCAGAGTGCTAGTAAAAGATTATGACAGCTATTATCGAAAACTATGGTATATATAATACATTCAAATAAATACTTGAATATATACTTGAAATATAAATAAAAGCATAGGTCCACTATTATCTGTCCATATATTTTTGAATGTCATAACAAGGCCATTTAATGTTTTGCGAATATATATTCCGTTCAAAATTAACCAAGATACAGAGTGTAAAAGTATCCAAAAGAAACCTTTTAACAAAAATTTTACTTATTTGGTTTTTGTATATGTGCAATTTAATGTTTTGTGCACTTCATAAATAAACATTTCAAAATCTTTACAGTTCTAGCATCAACTCACAAAAATATAAATAATTTCGCTTTAATTGATTTAAATATCATAAAATTTCAATAATACGATTTTGAATCTTACCGATTAAAGAATGTACTTATAATTGTCCTGACTACAAACAGCAAAAAGATTGAACCTATCTCCATAATCCAAAATCAAAACAAAAGGCTAATAATTAGTGGAGAGTCGGCTCTTCCGTCTCTTCGAGTCCATATACTGATCAAGAAGTTATAAATATCAGTTTTTTGGAATACAAGTTAAGTTAGTTTAATATTATAAAACTAAATAAGAATGAGGGATTGTTCGAACCTGATTTACTATTCCATTATGATAATCTTAAAAGAGGTTATTTTATGGTTTCTTGATCCTGCATTTACTCTAGGGTGTTATTTCCAATTAATATTACTTATACAGCACATTACATGTCTGCTATTAGGATTTATAAAACTTATTATTTGAAACAAGCAAGGTATTCTAATTAAAACTACAAGAAGTAATAAGAGTTATAAATTTTTTTCAATAAAAATATATAGATCTATAATTTATGGTATTGTGAATACAGCCAAATCAAAAAAAAAAGCGAATGGAAATCAATTTTTTACATTAAAAAAAAAACTACTTGAAAATAAAGCAACGTTTTCTTAAAGCTATTACTCGTCCTCCAGTTCTCTTAAGTGGGTTAATATTGTTGCAGCTATCGCAGCATTTACTCCTCTTCATCTTCCTCTTGAGCAACTTTCGTTTGCTTTCGCCTTGAAGGACCGCGCGTACGTTGTGGTTTTTTAACCTTGGGTTTTGGATTTTCCAATTCTTCTAACTCAACATCTGTCAAACGATCCTTGTACCAATCAGCACTATAAGTACAAAAATAAATTATTATTATTTTAAAAGAATTGTATTTAAATATTGTGATATCACCATTCTGGTACTTGTCGAGCCCATTCGCAGTGTTTCTTTTCATCGTCGAAGACTTGTCCCAACTTGCAACCATTTCTACGTGGAATTTCACCATTAACACAGACATAAAAGTATTGACAATCATCAGGATCAGCGTAACGTGGGTGTGTAACCGCAATAGTTTCATTTACCTTAGGACACTCGAACTCAAATATATCCTCCGACTTACAACCGGTGACACCAACCTCATCCGGCCATGTACAAATACCAGTTTTGGGATTGAATACAAGTCCTACAGGACAAGTAATCATATTAAATTGCCCATCCACACAATAGTAGAATTTATCACAGATTCCAGCCTTTTCATGACCAAAGTAACCATTCTTTCGGGGACAATGCTGCGATGGTTGTGGAGTTTCTAAATAATTTTAATTAAAAAATACAAACATTATAAAAACATTATTTGGTAATTAATTAACAAATTCTAATTTAAGTATATATAATCTGTCGTAAGGTCAATAAGAATGAATTGATTTAATGAGAGTGGTTAAATAGGTAAAAATTGGTAAAATATTGAAAGAAGAGATATTAAATGACAGTTCTGCATGCAGACCCAGGGTTTGCATTTAGACATAAAATTAGACTTCAACATCTTCTATATAATTCTTGTAGCAGCTGTTAGAAAAAGGAGAATTTTCTGATCTTCCTTTGTATTATAAGCAGTTTAATGTTAATAGTTACATTAAAGAACTACAGATTCATTCATAGTGCTTAAGAATCTTACCAACACAAAATGTATGAATGATAGTTAAATTCTAAAACTGAATAAAGATTCTCATTTGTTGCTACTATAGATTTTAAATTATGTATTTCTATATACATATCAACATTTCGTGACATTTGAAAAAATATAAGATAGCTAATCCATAATTTGAATAAAAGTAACATCCTACTTTGAATTCCAACATGCTAGAACCAAATAGCGAAATTAAGAGATTCGACAAATCTGACTAAAACACTCAAGCAAAACAATTTAAACACAAAAAATTATTAAGTGAAGATATTTTAATCATATATCAACTTTTGCAAGCTTAATGTATACTACTACTCACAAACCAACTTTTAAATAACTTAAAAATTCCAACAAGAATTGTTTTTCAAGCCACTTGAATACCAATCATAACCTTAAACCTGAATCTGAAATTATTTTAAGATATATTTATTCGTTAACGAGGTTATATGTCTGAAATAGAATACAGTGTTACACTGCCTTCAGAAATCAATCAATCGTTAATTTTACTTTAATTGAATGTAATAGTTAATACCAATCAAAATAAAAAAAGTGCCATTCAGACACTAGTATAAGATCGGTAAAAATATACCAATAGAGAGACTCTCATTTTTTATTTACGTTGACATCGGAATACCAACTCCCTTCAGTAACTTCGACTAGCAACAGTTGATGCGTGTGCTTATTTATCTGTACACCCCATTAACTACCATAGAGCGTTTACCTTTCCATTGGATGTATCCCTTGGATATATGGATAAGGGAGTGGATATTCACACAGTTGTGCACATATGGTATTTATTTGCGTAACGTTAAAATTTATTCATTGTCAATTTAGCTAAACACATAGTGGCCAAACACCTCTTTGCACAAGTAGACTGCACACTATAGTCTACTCTCACGCGGTCACCCATCCCTCATTATTGTCTTCATTCTTTCGTTAGTAATTCATTCAAGCAACAACCTAGTTCGTTTAGTGTCCTTTTTGCAAAACCACAACAATCAACAACTTTAATTGACATTTGACTATCAGAAAGTCAACTTCCACTCGAACGGACCGGGCCATACCGGGCCAGACCATACCACATCAGACGAGCAATAGTCGGCGCAAACCAACACTCCATTCCATGAAGGGGATAGCATTCAAGGCATGTTACTGTTGTTGTTATTGCTGTGACTGTTGTCCTATGTATTGTCCTTTTGAGTTTTTGACATGTTTTCTCATACATTTTACATGCACTAAACACAGCTCCATTCAACGACATCAGCCAGGCATCCCTTGAATTTAGGATTGTGCAATGGTTATTGCTTTTAAAATGTTCGTTTATGTTTATAGGCTGTGGCACATTGTTGCTCTTCACTTCATCTTTGTTTTTGTATTTCCATTTATAAACGAGTTGCTTAATAATTTCCGTTTTAACCTTTATTGTTGCTTTACTGGAAACTACACTAGCAATATTTTCTGTGATGTTCATGTGATGGACTTTGGGAAATACCGAAATATTTCATTATGTTCACTACGCTTTTCGGGTTTTTTTTATATAAAATATATTGGTTTTTTTTACTCATATTTGGCCATTTCTTCACGTAAGCTACCATGCAATAAGTAACTTTAAGTAAGATTTTCATACCAAAACTATGAAAGACGTCAGCGAATCTTGCCTTAGGTATCTAGCTAACTTCTTTCGTTTAAAAATGTGTTCCAGGTGCAAAAAAGTGCTTCTACGCGAATTGAGGTCGATGGCCAATTCCGGTCAATATTTAAAGGGAACATTTGACATTTTGGATACAAAGTGAAAACCTCAAAATTGCGCATTGAATCATATAATAGATGAATAATACACTACATACAGACATAAGTATAGCAATAATCGGCTTCAAAATATAAATCTTTCTGTTACTTCATATTAGTTATAATAAAGCATAAGTTAAGTCATTCCGTCAGTCGTAAAACGAGTCTGTGATACTGCATTTAACTTCAAATGCTGAGTTTCTGGAATTTAATAATTAATTTTCATATCAGTCTCATATCATTCTTTCATTTAAATGAAATTCTTTAAACTAAATTGAAACCGAATTGGGTTGCAGGAAATACTTGCAATTTTTCTCTAATTTTATTAAAAATTTCAAATCCAATTTTAATAACTAATAAAATGGAAAGAGGATATTTTAGTATTGAAAGTGCTTTATATGAAGTTAAATACGTAAAATATCTGTCTTCCTTCGTTTTTCTCTTCACCTACAACAACTGTTGATTCAGAGACAATAAGTGAGGACCTAAAAACTTTCTATTGGGATTGAAAACATGGATATGATATTTTAAAAAATTTAACCTTTGTTTTATCACCGGCTTTTTAAACACTGACCTCTCTGTCAGTGTTGACGGATCGATCTGTATATAAACTTCCGCGGCATATTGTGTGTACATGTTAATGCTCAATAAACTATTTTAAATATGAGAGTAAAGGGACTTTTTAAATCCTAACATGATATTATGTATATATGAATAAAACACAATAGTTGTACATAATGCTAACATGTATGTGTATCATGTATTAAATGATCCTGCATATCTGCGCAAATTGATCTAAGCCATTTAGTAATAAGTATTCCAAACGTAATAAAAATTTTATCAGTTTTTTTAATATTTTACTTAAACAAAGTTTCACATCTACTAGGTGGATTGATGAGTACTTGGTATAAGTAATAAAAACGCATTTTTTTGGAAAATTATATTTTATGCTTCAATATAGTCTTCTTTTACCTCGACACATCAAGTCAAACGATCTTTTAACATGTCGATACTTTATAAATAATACGACTTATCAAGTCTTTCAAAATATACCTCAGTTTCCCGTTTCACTTTATCATTTGATGCAAATCTCTCTCCTTGGAGCCAACTTTGTAAGTTTGGAAACAGGTAATAGTCACAGAGAGCCACATATCGAGAATACGTAGGGCATGAATTTTTTTCTTCGACAAACCAAGAAAAAACTACCAAATTTATTCTTGGTTTTCTTATTGAATAATAATCTGATGTTATTGTGTTTCCTTTTCCTAAATAGTCTATGAAAATTATTTCACTTAAATCTCAAAATACGGAAGCCAAAATTTTCCAGCTTATTGTTGAGTTTGTGATCATTTATTTGGGTTCACTAACCCCGAGCTCTTTCCATACTCTGATTTGATGTTTTCCTTCAGGTGTGAAGTAATGGATCCATGTTTCATCAATTGTCACTACTGGAGGCTAACAGTCAACTAGATTGTGCATAAACATTTTCAAACAATGATTGGAATAACGATGTCGTTGTCGTTCCTAGTCAGTTGTTAGCAAACACGACACCTATCTTGTCGAAAACTTTTTCATACCGAAATATGTCTCTGCTATCTCACGTATTTTAATTTTTGGATCAGCCAACCCAATATCGTGGACTTTTTAATTGTTGTTTTCAGTTGAGACCTCTTTTAGACGACCTGGACGCTCTTAAATTCAGTGTTAGTTTTCAGTTTTTAAATATATTACATTGAAAGTATAAATATCCATTTCTGATAATAAAAGTTGTATATATATTTTCTCTTTTTTGCTTATTGAAATGCGAGTTAGTATCTAACTTACGCTTATTTATAGAATTGGACTCTCTTAAATCAAATGCGCTATATATTCCATCGCAAAGACATGCAAGACTTATCATCATAATTTAATGCTGCTCTTGCTACAATGATCATCCAAGTGGTCACAGACACTTGTATAACACTAGTTTTTTAATAGTGGAAATACTGTAAACTATAAACTAAAGATTAGATTGCAAACCACTTAATAGTCTAATAACTTGCTTACAAAACAGAGTTTTGCACAATTCGCTTTTCTTGTATTAATGGTCTCAGAGCATTCAGATTTATATTATAACCCAAGTTTCCCACTCTTACCCAATTTTTACCCAATTATATCTTCTGTCAAAAGTCAGATCTAAGTATTTCACAATATCTTCCCATTCTATTTCTACATTATTAACTTTTATTTTCTTTGGATTTTGGTTTCATCGTCTTGTACTGTACAAGACTTTCATTTTTTCAGCAAATACTCTAATTCTTCAGCTTGGGAATTATGTATTAAGTCGTAAAATCTCGTAAGGCAGCCTATACTATAATATTGTACAAAAAAAAGATAACTTGAAAATGCGTTTAAGTGTCTGGTATTTAGAACGGTTCCAAAATTATTATCCGATTATATTACACAGAAATCAAAAATATATGATTGGATCTATGACACAGCATAACTTGATATTTTGTAGTTATTTTCTCTTGATTTTAGTCAATTATAAAACTTTTCCTTAAAGAGCATTTTAGGCTTTATTAAAGACTCCAGTGGGATTAAAGCTTATCGTGATTTATATAATAAGACAATCGATTTTAATAGATCCTTAGGAACGCCATTATAGCCTAACCCAACTTATAGTTTGATATGTAACTGTAATAGTAAAGACATGATATCCACTTTAAAAACGGGTACAAATTAGAAATATTTATTGATGCTGCAATATTTAACGAGTTTCTCCCTCACATATTGAAACCTGAGTAGTCCGCTGGGTAGCCGTTCAAAATAATATTTTTATACATTTTTTCAAAACTTTGCATAGTAAAGTTACTCACGTAATTTTGAACGTTTGGTGCAATCAATATTGTAAGGCAAGTCACATTTCTCCTCGATGGGACTGTAGTCGTTAAAAACCATACCATCAGCACAAAGACGTTCTGTAGCCACACCATCACTGCAATTAAAAGAATATTATTATAAAACAATCACTCTTTTTCTGTTTTAAACATATATATGTATATATAAATTCAATATTATATTATTTTTTTTTTAATTAAAATAACATATTACTTTTTTAATTGAGAACTATAAGGATATATGCACATGACCGTAACAAGGAATTTATTTCTGTTAAATTGAGCATCAATAATTTCTTAAACGATGATTTTCACAGTTTTCTGAATAAAGGTTAGCAAATTAAAGCCTTTCAATGGCAGATGTGGAGGAATTTAAGTTAGAAATCAAAACACAAATATTTAAAATGTAAATAAATATAATAAATACATACAATATAACATTTTTTTAAAAAATATCTATACAGTAAAAACTCCCTTAAGTAGGTCTCAAAAAATAATAATGATTAAAATAAGACAACAGTGATATCTGTATTTTTAACGATGTAATTATTCCTAACTCCCTTTAAATACTACAGAAATACAGAGTACTAAGCACTCAAAGCGGACGGAAAAAGCTTTATTGTAGTTTTAGCACTGTGAGTTGTACAGTGAAAACTCGGCACTTCAATTGAAGGTACACGTCTTTTGAGTGGCGTATTATTCTGAAACTAAATTTTGTTTGCAAGTTACGTTGGCAATGATTTCATATCTTTTAGCATTATACCTCTCTTGTACAGACAGAAATTGTCTTCACTGTGTTTACTTGTATATTTTTCTATAGTTATATTTTAAACTGACCTGCAAGCATAATATTTGTCGCACTGTTCTCCATCAGGAAAGAAGCCATTTGCATCTGGGCACTCTGTCGTTGGTTCGTATGCTTCTTCTGTTTTTGGTGGTGTAGTTGGTCGCTTAGGTAGATGGCGTTGTGATGTTGGGTGACCCGCACCTACACGAAAATTCGAACGCTGGGCAATAGCAGAACCTGTAACAAATAAAATTCGTCATATATAGCCGAAATCAGGAAAACAAATAGTATGTAATTATAGTCCATTAAATATCATTAGGAAAGCAATTGAAAGCAACTGTGATTAATCAAACGGAAAAACTATATCAATTTTTAAGGAATCATCGCTCGACGCCAATATGACGCTGTAAAGTCTTCGGATAAATTAGTTTTTTTTATTTATGTCCTCATTTCGAGCATTTCATTTACGTATAAAATTTCTATCTGACATGTTAACTGGAACTGGAAGTAGCAATAGAAATATTCAGTGTTACTCAAGCAGTGGCAACATTGTCATGAAGCAGTTGTCAGCACTGAAAGTGAACAATTGTCAAAACAAAGATATCAGTGCATCCACATCAGCGCATATCTACAGCTCTAAAGCAGTGTTTGTTTATAAAAATGTAATAAAATGGAATTGCAACGAGCAAAACTAACAAAAAATAACAACAATGGAATAATAAATGGAAGCGTACGAGATGCTAAAAAGAAAAATTCCTGAAATGAGAGTAAAAAGTATGTGAAAGGAAACAATTACTAACAAAGTCAGCAGTGACAAATATTGGCAAAAATGTTTTTTGTTCACATGCAACAAGGAGCACATGACGCATTTACTCCATGTCCAACGTCCTCTCACCCACTTCGAGGACGTGGGCGTTCTCACTGCAAGCGGGCGTTCTGCATACAGCAGACAGTTTGACTGACAAATACTTTTATAAATATTAAATTAGCTAAAAGTAGAATAATACAAAAGTATTATACAGAAGAACATATTAAAAAATAGCAAAGCTTGAATAATGCAATTACTTTAAAAATCGTACATAAGGGGCTGAGAATATGTACAACTTGCCAAGGAAGTGGCGATGATTACATATTCTATTCATAAGGACATTTGCTGCGACACGTTTACGTACTTTGTTTACTTCTAGCAACAATATTTTTGCAAAAGAATAACTGCAAATTAATCGATGAACTTTCAACAAGCACTCAATCCTTTACATCATTCTCACTCTAAGACGACGTTGTGTTATTTGTAAGCTCATGCAAAGCCATTGCGAATACTCGGAAATGATACTTAGTTTACTCATATAAGGACATATGAATTTCATAAATTTCAGTTCAATCAAGTACATTATTCAGAGAAAACTCAGATAGATTTACCCAATCAATTTTCAAAAATATCATAAAAAAGTACAATTTTGCAACATTCTAATGCCATGCGATTTGCTTTCATACATTGTAATTGAGCAAAATTAAGTGAATGTGGTGATTACTATTCTAAAAATACAAAAAAGGAAGTGGTGACATTTTAGTTTCATTCTCTACAGCATAAAGTATTCTGATCTTAATACAATGTTTGAGCTCCAAAAGGGAATATTGCACACAAATAGATTTTCATAATCACAGCTTAAGGACTTTACTCCATTTTCACAGTAATGGTTCAGACAAACATTAAAAGAACTTTATAATATGAATTCACGACAAACAATAATCCGCTTCATTTATATTCTTTGGAATATACAGATGTTATAAAGTTATAACATCTAAACTACTGAGCCCAAGCTTGTTACATACATGAGGGCTGACGAAAATTGCAAAAAACTCGCACCTATTTAGCTGACAAACCAATAATGACAGAAAGACCAAAATTAATTAATTTAATAGTTCATTGTCTTGTTTATGTGATGCAGTTTCATCGTATTAATGTGATTGCTTTGTATTTTGCTGAAAAAACACATGTGGTCATCGTTCGAGCCCTACAACACCTAAATGTGCACAAATCATTTGTGTGTCTTACCATAGCTTGATACCGTGATACTGGTAGCATTGCCTGACGCCCAGGAAGTGGACCAAAAAAAATAGTACCAACACCAGAAATGATTCGTAAAGTGAAGAAGCGAACTGTGCGAAACCCATGCCTAAGCTGTAATCAAATGGCAAAGAAGCTGAACGTATCACGAGAAAAGATGGAACACATTTCAAAAAGGGCTTGGATTAAAGCCATTGAAGTTGAAAAAAGTGCATGATCACACTGATGAACGAAAAAAGTTAGAGTCGAAAGAGCCAAAATGTTGGTTCGTTTGACCAAGGTTGTGGGTTGCCGCAAAATGATCCAGTTTACTTGTCAGAGAGGTCTGTCTAAAAGTTAGAGATACTAATGGCCACCAGAAAGCAGGCGCAACCGATGGTGATGGTGTAGACCGTCGTAACACGGTTTTTCATCGACCGTGGGGTAAAAATAAACGTCCAAATCTATTGGAATTCTATTTTAGAGGGAGCACTAAAGCCCTGGGCAGATGAGCATTTCAATTGCATGCGTTAGTCAACCCAATATACCATCGCACAAAGCACACGTCAACCAAGAATGGCTTAAAAACAACGATCCGTGATTTATATCTTCAGATAAACCATGCTGTCGAAAAAGCTTTAAAAGCCTCAGCGTCCGTAAGCAAGCTGATGGCAAACATTGGTGGACTAACCGAAGGTAAACGAAAATTGCTAATGGCAGTAGTGAATGCAGTACTACTCTACGGTTCGGAAATATGGTCAAACACCTTACAGATTAATCAAAAGTGCAATGCGTTCCAAACAGTCCAGAGAACAGCGGCACTCAGAGTAGCATCAGCTTACCGAACGGTATCCGGCACGGCAGTTCTTGTGATCAGCAGCGCAATACCCATCGACCTCTTGGCCATCGAATGGAGGCGAGCATGATTAAGCTGCCAAAACAACGACAACAACAGCGTGAGCACAAGTTACCAGAAACACACAATGCAAGAAACTAGTAGTAGGTGGACTGCAAGACTCATCCCCGATTTAGTGGTCTGAACGACAAGAAAGTTCGACGAGGTCAACTATTACCTGACGCAACTCCTCTCTGGGCTCGGGTACTTCGGCAAGTACCTGTACCGGATGAATATTCGAGTACAACAGAGTTGCATTTACGGCGCCGCAGAAATCGACGTAGAAGTGGCCACCATGTTCATCTGATATAAACCCATTAGATTTCTCATTCAGGGGTATTTAAGAAAGTAGGGTTGGTACTAAACAAAGCCATTTGCGGGCAACGTGCGCCAGCTTCATTGGTTATTTGAAGATCAAAATTCATACAAAAGTTGGCCGTAGTTAACCAAAATTAATCAAATTAAAAACTTAAAATTCTTTTCGCATATTTTCATTAATCTTTCATTAAATTTAACAAAAATAAACAAAATAGAGCATATTACTTTGTTGCAATTTTCGTCAGTCACCCTGTACATGCTATTCCAACATCTTGGGTTGGAGTTTAAAATTAATTTGAATAAATAAGAAATCCAATTCGTGAACACATAGTTACTTTAGAATACACCATTAAATCAGTTTTGCACTTAATTACTTACAAAGTTAACTAAATACATCAAGGCAATGTATAGTGTTCATGCAGTTCCATAAGTAAGCTGGAATCTTACAAGAATCAATCTGATTGTAATTCCAGATGGATCGTAGTCTCAAAGTATTAATTCTTTGGTTTCAGTTCTCTACCAGATATTTTTCTATTACATTGTATTCAATCATTAGTCATTAGTCAAGTGTAACCAGGCCTCTGTTTTCGAAGTTACAGGAAAAGTTGTGCTCATTTTTTAATACAACGATATTCAAACAGCACAATATTCACCTCACTATGCAATATTACTTTTGACCTTTTTACATCACCCATTAAATATCTGTCTAGAATACTATAAAAGAGTAAACATGCAAATCGGGTAAGGAATACGCACACGGCAAGGAAATATAATCAAAAAAGTTTGATTTTTTAAAAATCGATTTTGAAAATGTTTAGAATCAAATAAAAGATTTCCGAAAGACTCGTGACTAGCTACTGATGGATCCTCAAAAATACATTGTTATACGTTTTTTTGCTATATTATATTAAAAAAAATATTCTATGTTTAAAAAAATTCAAACATCAACATCATCGTCTTTCAGAATAGAGTCACGGACTAAATCTTATTTTTTCAACTTTAAAGAAAACTATCCCATCCCAGTGTAAAAGTATTATTTGTGAGATAAATCGATGAAAATTGAAGCTAAAAGATGTAAAACACCTGTTTTGTCATTAATAGTAGAAAATTACGTCTAGAATTAAGAAAATATATGAGTCCTTTCCTTAAACTGCATTAAATTTGTTTTAATTTAAAATTCTGCACCTTTTGTTCCCGTCTGTACAATGTTAACTTAATTTGAATTAATCTTTTGAAATATTTTTCATCCATATTAACAGAGTTGGCCAGCTGAGTTCATCATATATCAAAACTTCAATTTAATTTATAAAAATTTTTAATTAATTAATTTCTATAGCTTTATTTTTCTGTACGTACATTCAATTCTAAATTTGCCTACTCCTATCAAGAAACCATTAAATTGATTAATAAATTCAACGCTTCGCTTGGAGCATTTTCAAGTAAGTTCAATCTGTCCCTTCATTGTTGATTAAATATCTAACTAACATTTTTCTATGTTTAATGTTTTAAAGAATATCAAAACATGCCTAATTTTGCAATTAATCGACAGTGCGCACTATTCACTATCGCTACCTACATCGTCGTATTTCTAGCCCTAATAATTATATGTTTATGGTTTAATTTACCAATGGAAAATTATGAAATTCTCTATATTCCTGTCAGATATTTGATGTTACTTTCGCCGGTGGTTTTTATCATTGGTTTGATTCTATTGATATATTTTCTCTATCCAGAACTAAATAGCTCACGAATTGTAAATGTAGAAGACAGACCAGTGTCAAACATAGGTAATAGACCATTGCTTGAATATTCGGATTACTCCAGTGAGGAGGAGAGCAACAGTGACTACAATACGATTGTAATGAAAGAACGACCTAATCGATTTTGTATCGATTCCGAGGAAAGTGACTCTGAAAGTGGTACGTGTGAAGTTGAAGTTTATCGAAATCCTTATTATAGGAAGGTTTGTGGATAATT